GGCACAACGATCCCTTGGTCATCGCCACGGCAGATGCCATCCACACTTACCTTGTCATCATGTCTGCTGGGACGATTACTACATCCTTAGTGTCGGCATTGATGGTGGCGGCGCTTCCGATCCTGGACGACCCCCAGGCATGGTTGAAGTGCAAGAACCCCTTCGCGGCGCTGATGATGAGCCTGCACAGGATATGTTGGAAGCTGCTGGGCCCGTTCACGCTACTGGACGATGAAGGTCGTTCGTGGGACCTCAAGTTCCGTTCGGCAAGTTGGATAGCACACGTTGTCAAGCTGGGGGTCAGACGCCAGATCGACCGTGATGCACTCGCCACTATGCAAGGAGCAGGCACCACGAGGACAGTGCCCACCGCTTGGCAGTCGATTCTTGAGGCGCTGCACGGCAAGCGCCTCGCGCCCCACCAGAGGAACTCGCTTCGGGGCGTGATCACGGGAAGCCATTGGACACAAGTTCGGGTTGTCAGAGCCTTAGCAGGCCACTCCTCGCTGCGCACCAGATGCCAGGCAGCGCCTGGCACCCTGTTCCATCGCTTCTTTGAGTGCGACGCCTAATCGGCACAACGGCAGCTGCTCATACCGCCCGAAGACCAGAGATCGGCGCAGAGATTGAGGTGTGAGGCGGAGGACAGGCAGGAGCGATTCGCCCGACGTCTTCCCCCACACCCAGGGCATGCTTTCATGGAGCAGGCCGAACCAGCCAACATGACATGATCGACGTGGGTCGCCGAGGTGTAACGGCGGTCAACGGGGGCTACGTTTTCGTAGACGGAAGCGCGCTGTCAGTTCGAGTGCCTGAGCTGCGGTCAGCAGGCTAGGCGGTCGTTGTACTCGATGCGGATAGGCGACGAGTGGCTCGGTACTACGTTGCTGTTCCTCGACTTGAAGGGCCTAGTCAAGTGGCTCGAGACGGAGAGGACTACGCCATCATGAAGGCAAGCGAGCTGGTCATGGGTTCGTACCATGCCGAGTCGGATTGCAAGGGTTCGGTTGGCTGCTGTCACAGGCTGGCGGCAGCGTGTGGACCAGGCAATCTAAGAGCACACATGTGGAGGAGGACGGTGCTGAACAACGATTTCTGCAAGGCACCTGTGGCTCACGTGAAGGCGCACACCAGCATGGGGGATGTCAGAGACGGCGTCATCAGTCTGTTCGATCGCGCTGGGAACGCCGAGGTCGACGAGCTGGCCAAGCCAGGGGCATCCTTTCATGCAGCGGCGGAAGCTCAGGAGAAGCTAGTTCGTGGCGCGGCGCGCCTTCACCAGATGCTGCTGGAATACATCGCCCAGTTTGAGGTCTGGTTTCACGAGCTGGGCGACGACCTCAAGGATTACCTCTTCCCCGAGCCCGAGGATGACGATTTGGCCACGCCTCAGCAGCAAGCGGCGGCGAGGGAGCCCTTTCTTCCTTGGCCGTGGTTGGTCCAGAAACATGCCCTGCTGGAGTGCCCCGTGGTCGGCCACGATCGCTCGATCCTCTTCTGCACCAGCTGCTGTAAGTATACTCGGACACAGGCAGTCTTAACCACAGGGGATTGGACCACGTGCGCTGCGCAAGAGAAGGTGGCAGCGGGAGGATTGCTGAGAACATCCGCAGTCGCTGCACAAAGACATTGCTCTGCATGGGGGCTCGGCGACCCTCGGCCAGAGTTAGAGCCCTGGTGTGCAAATCTAAGGGACCCACTCTGAGATGAGCCTGAGATAGTATACAGACCAAAGGGCCGTGCACGCGCTGAACCCCAACGCTATTTGGACACAAGCGTGATTCTGAAGGACTATGGTCTGTTATACCCTGAAGCTTTGGAGTTGGGAGATCCGCGTGAGTCAGACAGCGATGATGATGTGGACTTTGACATGGTTTAGTGGTCGGGCCGACGCTTCCCTGCCATCGGCGGCCAGGCCTCACGGCTCTTGCCCCCCCGAGCCACGCACCCTTGGCAGGGGCTTTCTGCGCCCACCCTCGGCGGCCAGCCCTTAATGTTCTGGCCCCTGTGGCTTGCACCTTGGGTGGGTGTGGGGTCGGGCTGGCCGGTCTCTTCCTATTTCAGTATATTTACGGCAGTCCGCAGCGGTGTTTGATCCTGGACTGCCTGAGTATTCTCACATTCATTTGCCCCGTCGGCGTCGTCAACGACGGGCGGAATGGCCTCCTGCTGTGGATGCCGTTCGTTCGGGAGTTCGGCACAGTGCCGTGCCTCGGGCACCTTGCCACGGCGGGCTTCGTGCTGGTGAGCACAGGACCGCCGCAGGCCCCGTGCTCCCTGTTTGCGCCGCCGAAGGCGGCCGCTGGGAGGCGCTCAGTCACCCCTCTCCCCTCCCTGGCGGTTGCAAGGTGGTCCTGGCCCTGGCGGCTCCACCGTGCAACTGCTAGGGAGGGGAGGTGCGGTGCTTGAGCGGTTCCCTTTCTCTCGGATCCCATCGCCCCTCGGCTTCTGCTCGCTCGCTCGCTCCTCCTCCTCCTCCTCCTCCTTCTCCTCCTCCCTCTCCTCCTCCTCCTCCTCCTCCGCCTCCTCCTCCTTCTCTCCTTCCTCCTCTCCCTCCTCCTCCTCCTCCTCCTCTATCTTCCTCCTCCTCCTCCTCATCCTCCTCCTCCTCCTCCTCCTCCTACTTCTCCTACTCCTCTGGCTTTCCTCGTTCTCCTCCTCCTCTGGCACTAACGGAATCGGTCACGGAAAGAATAGGCACGATGCGCACCAGCAGTTCTTGTTCATTTTGCACCGGATTCGCTATCCGCACCGCCGCGGACGCTGTCTATTTGAGAGAGCGCTTGCCCAACAGCGGCCGTTGTCGGTTTTGGACAACACTTATTGTTGGGCATCATGCCAAAGTATGCCCGTACCAATTTCGTGCGTCTAAGTTGGCGAAGGATTTCTAAGCATGAGGCGTTCCAGAAAGGGCCTCGCCTGCGAGGATCGAAGGAGTGGGTATCTCTTCCTCGGCGGAAGGCGGCGGAAGTCAAACGATGCCGCCTCCACTGGCAGAAGGCCAGCGGAAGGCGGCGGAACAACCAGCCCCTCGAGAGATGGCAACGTTTTTTGGTTCCAGGGTTCCCAGAACCCGCCATGTGCAGGGGGAAGTGCCGCAGGGGGTGTGCCGACATTGACCCGAGGCCGCCATGCGACCGTTGCCACTAGGGCATCTGGTGGGTCTTCCTACTGGGCCACGACGTGTTCGAGGGGTGTGCCGAGATGGACCCAAGGCCCGAGGCCGCAGTGCGACCGTTGCCACCAGGTCCTGCGGTGGAGCTCATTACGGGGCCACGAAATGAGTGAGAGGTCTGCCGGAATGGGCTCCAGGCCGCCGTGCGACCGTTGGCATTGAGGCCTTCGGTGAAGCTCCCCTTAGTGCGACGATGCGTGCGAGGGTTGTGGCGAATGGCAGAAGCAAGGAGAGGAGGGGGATGCGGAGAGCAGAAACAAGGAAATGAGAAATACAACGGGAGGGAAGGCGGATCGCGACGCTGCGGCTTCAAAACGAGAATCCGAGAGCACAGGACGGTCGGGAGACCAGCCCAGCCCGACCCCAATCAGGGGCCTGCTTTCTTCCGCAGCAGTTTAAAGCAGTTCTGAGCTATGTAAAGTGACGTAATGCAGACCTTTGTTTGGCAATGATTCGCTTTCCTTTGCATTACTTTGCATTGGATGGCTTGCTTGGTATTTCCTGTAATTGTTGTTTGAAAACGTGGCTTGGTATTACTTGGCATTGCTTGACATTGCTTTGCGTTGCTTGCCGATGTTTGGCATTGCTTGGCACTGTTTGGCGAATGTTGGCATGTCTTGGCACTGGTTGGCATTGCATGGCGTTGGTTTGGCATTGCGTGGGGCTGCGTGGCACTACTTGGCACTGGTTGGCATTATTCGGCATTTCTTTGCATGGATTGGCCTTACTTGGCATTGGCTTGGCATTGCTTGGCATTGCTTGGCCTTGCTTGGAATGGTTGTTTGACAGTGCTTTCTCTAATTTACGTTGCTGGGTAGCTCTTGGAGTGGTTTGGCTCTACTTGGTTTTGCTGGGCGTTGTTTGGACATTGATTTGCGTGTCTGAGCATTGTTTGGCATTGGCTTGGCAGTGTTTGGCGTTGCTTGGTATACCTTGGCAATGCTTGGCACTGCTTGGCGTTTCTTGGAAGTGTGTGGCATTGATTTGCTTGGGTTCGCATTGCTTGGCATTGATTTGCATTTCTTGGGAGTGCTCGGCAGTGCTTGGCATGGCCTGGCATTGCATCGATTCAGGAACTCAGGGAACAAGACCCTGGAACCAGAGGACCAAGCAATACCAGGGAACCTGAGAAAGGAAGTCAAGGAACAAGGCCGGGGAACCAAGGAAGGACCGTAGAGACCAACCAGACAGGGGAACCCGAGCAATGCCTGAAGGCTGGCCCCCAGGGGCACCCCACGGCGAAAAGCCGGCCGCGCCGATCTTCTCTAGCCTCCTGGGCGGACGGCAGCAGGGGGGAGTAGGCGTGGGCCCCCCCCCGGTTCTTCTCCTTCTCCTCCGCCCCTTTTTCCTTCTCCGCAGCCATTGCGGCTCAAATTCGATTGTCCCTCCGGCAGAGGCTGGGGCACCTCTAACCCTCTAGCCCGAGGTCAGGTTACCACCGTCTTTGCACTCACTCACCCTGAACTGGGCGGGTAACCAGTGGAGCTTCCCGTCCTGCCCAGGTGA